CAAGATCAAACTTCTGATCTCTTCACTGTTGGGGATGCATAGTCTGTCTACGACGTCAGTCTTCTCAAACAGTATCCCGTTTGTGGTGTGATAATTAGGTTCACTATCTGGGGCCTCCCTAACTTTCTTCATGAGGTCACGATAAATAGAGTCCTGAACATATGCATCTTTAATCTTCTTTTGCAGGCCACTCCTATATCTAACTAGTGAACTATAGCTCCAAAGTAGTCAGCTCTCCTACTCAGAGAATCTGCTACCACGTTGTACTTTCCTGTAACGAGTTTGAGCTCGAAGTCAAACTGGTCAATCTCAGCAGCCCACCTAGTAAGCTTAGGTGTCATCTTGGCTAGCGTTTTCAGCCACCTCAGTGTCTCGTGGTTTGAATAAACTTTGAAGTGCCTCCCAAGCAAGTAATGTCTCCAATGGTCTAGTGTTTGCCTGAGAGCGCAAAGTTCTCTCTCATAAGTTGAGGCTGCAACTTTCTGTGAAGGTAGTCTAGCTGACGTGAACTCGACGGGTCTGTACCCATTGCCATCATCTTGCTGTAACACAACGCCAATGCCATATCGACTTGCGTCTGTAGTGACGAAAAAAGGTAAAGACGGGTTGGCTACCTTGAGGACTGGATACTTGCAGTCTTTATCCCACTTCCAGATTGCTTCTTTCTTTAACAGCCTGCGAAGGGGAGCAACGATAGTGGAAAAGTTTTTTGACAAACTTCCTATAATAGTTGGCCAATCCTAAGAAGGATCGTAATTTTGTTAGCGTACGAGGAGTTGGCCAGTCCCTAATCGCTACAATCTTGCTGTCCTCAGGTTTGATACCGTCTCCATCTAGTACGTGGCCCGAGTACAAAATTTCAATCTTGGCCCACTCACACTTCTTCGCGTTGACCTTGAAGTTTGCCTCATGCAACTTCTCGAAGATCTGCCTCATATGAACCTCATGCTCTTCGAGGGTCTTACTAAAAACTAAAATATCATCTAGGTATACAACTACAAACCTATCTAACCACGGTCTAAACAAGTCGTTCATGCAGTGCTGAAAAAGTGGCGGGTGCATTAGTCAAACCGAGGGTATGAATATGAACTCGTAATATCCATATCTAGTCCTGAACGTCGTCTTATACTGATCATCGGGGTGAACTTCAATCTGATGATACCTTGATTTCAGATTTATCTTCGTGAAGTACTTACAGCCCTGCACCCGGTCTAACATATCATCTATACGGGGCAGTGGTTCTGCATTCTTGACTGTAATGATGTTTAGACTCGTGTAGTCTATGCACATTCTCGACTCCCCCTCCTTCTTGGGAACAAACAGAACAGGTGCTCCAAAAGGTAACGAGTTGGGCCTAATCCAGCCTTTCTCGAGGAACTCATCTAGCTGCTTGCGCAACTCCTCTAACTCTCTAGGAGATGTTCTATAGACTGCTCCTTTAGGAGTTCTACTGCCAGGTTCTACCTCGATGCGATGCTGGATTGGACGCGGTACTACCCCAGAAGGAGCCTCAGACAAGTCTGCGTACTCTTCCAACAACTTGGCAATAATAGGATGGGACGGTTCCTCTTCTTTAGGCTCAGTAATAGGTCTAACACAGGCTACGAATACCTACTCTTCTAACTGCTCCTTTTTAACAAGCCGAGCAAACACAGGAGCGCCGAGACAACAATGTGCCAATGAATTATTTGCCCCTTACACATGAAATAGGTGGGCCGTCTTGACACCACCTGTAGGACTAGGAAGTCTACACTCATGCTTTCTCAAGTGCAGTGTGGCGCCTGCGGCTTCTCCCCAATCCATTTCTAAAACCATATCGAACGGGAGATCATCTTTGACGAGGAGAGTCAGGGAATGGAGAACTCTCCCTACCTTCCCATCTGCTTCTAGGCGAAAGTATGCTTGGACTCCCTTGATGTAGTCCTCAATCCGCATGGTGCGGTTGTCCGCGAGGACACTGACCACAGGTTCATCTAGCTTCTGGACCTTAAGGCCAAGCTTCACCTTCTTCAACACTTTACGACTAATATAACTACGGGTGACCCCATTGTCTATAAGCGTCCCTACTCTAGCTCTAAACACTTCTACATCTGCAATCAATAGCTGTCCTTTTCCTTCCTGCTTCATTTTGGCCCATGCTGACATTCTCTCCTTTAATTCTTCTGCCAGACCTGTGAGGGAAGCGCCTAGAGAGACTCTAACGCAAGCTGTCTCTAGACAACTAACTGGAGGCTGGCCAGCAACCTCTGCCATAGACGTACGTGGAGTGGGAGTTTCTGTATGGCGTGCACACTCATCTCCACGCAGTCTAGGGGTAAGGGCAATTGCTACCCCTACCGGCGGTTGCCTTTTGCTGCTCCAGAAGCAACATGTTAGGCACCTCTGTACCTCGGGCAAAATTTGATAATATGCCCAGGGTCGCCGTAGAAGACACACTGATACTTGTCTATCTTGTCCTGCCTAACATTCGTTTCGACGCCGAAAGTTTCCCAGGGTCGGCCCTCAGGGCGACCAGGGTGCCAACCACCCCTCTTGGGAGGTGATCGATCAGAACGAGGACGGCTTGACGGGGGACTTTGACCCTTGCCTCCCGCTTGGCGGTTTCCATTGCCACTAACGCCTTGGCCGCCCTGTCCTCGACCACTAGAGGCCTGGCCACCTCAACCTTGGCCTCTTCCTCCTCCTTGCGGCCTCCCTTCGGCCGCGGCAACAGCATAGGCACTCCCCTGCCTTGCACTACTGTCTGTGTCATTGAGGCCCCACTCTATATCGTTGTAAGGGACCTCTCCACCACCCTCTTCCATTGTCAGTATGAGATGATCTTTGGCTTGGACTTGGCCAGAGATGGTGCGACCTTTCCACTTTTTCCCCTTACTAAGGTCCTTATGGTAGAAAGTGGTAACTGGCATAGAATGGGCAACGAAAGCAACGACGTCCCTACTCAACTGATCATAAGTCGTGTCGGGTTGTTGGTTCTTTTTGAAGAAGTGCCCTTGCAGCTGCTCGGGGATCGCGCGGTAGAACAGTTGGACTAGCTGTGACTCTGTGACCCCATGGTCAGCCACAACGACCAATTCATCCATGCCGGCTTTCAGGGCGTGAGTGCTCCTCCATTGCCGCGTGTGGATCGTTTGGAGCTTGTCAAATGCCTTAAGTCCTCTGGTGACATCTGCAAATCTCTCTCTAAGGGCGGCGAGGAAATCACTAAAGTGAGTCATCGCAGAATAAGCAACCATATCATTCTCACAGCGAGCGGCGCGCGCGAGCGGCCTAGCAAAGCTAGTGGCTTCCTCTCTCAGTGCCTGGAAAGCTATAAGGACATGGTCCTCCTGTGGGATGTCTTGCATGTGCAGGTAAGACTTAACATTAGCCTCCCAGTTATCAAAATCTCCCCCCGTCTTTCCACTAAAGGGCTTAGGAAATCTAACCTTTACACACTCACGACGCGGTCGCAACTCTTCCTTTTTGGGAACAACAATCTTGGCACCTTCTATGGCGCCAGTGCATAATTTATGAGTCCCCTCGATTGCAGTGTGAAGCTCCGTGCTCATGCGCAACATCATATCTTGCGCAAAAGCCTAAACGAATGGACTCAATGGCAAGATCATGTCCCTTAATACGCTTGACCTGATCCTGCTGGGATTTCAGCACGGAAGTCATAGTCTGGTTAGTGTATGCAACTTTTGGTTAATGTCTGCCTTTTCAAGCAGTTTACCCAGACTCTCCTCTGCAATGCGCAATTCCCTTTATGCTCTCTCCGCTGCCTGCAACCTCCTTGTCTTCTCCCTTGCAAGACGCAGTTTCCACTCCAACGTTTTCTCCTGCTCCAGCGCCTTCTTCTGCGAGGGGCTTTCCTCCGCTTCCAGCTCTCTTTGCACCGCCTCCTTCTCCGCCTGGGGAACTAGCAATTTCGCCTCTTGTTCTTCCCCAATTTCCAGTTTGGATGCCCATTCTCCAATCATTCTCCCCACTTCTTCTCTCTCAGTTGAGGTGCCGCTAGACTTTTTTCTTTTGTGACCCCTCTTGCCATTATCTTTAACGGGGTCTCCGCCACTTCTTCTTCTTCTTCTTCTTCTTCTTCTTCTTCTTCTTCCTCCTCCTCCTCCTTCTTCTTCTTCTTCTTCTTCTTCTTCTTCTTCTTCTTCTTCCTCCTCCTCCTCCTCTTCTTCCTCTTCTTCCTCTTCTTCTTCTTCTTTTTCTTTTTCTTCTTTTTCTTCTTCTTCTTCTTCTTCTTCTTCTTCTTCTTCTTCTTCTTCTTCTTCGTCGTCGTCATCGTCGTCGTCGTCGTCGTCTTCTTCCTCCTCGATTGCTGCTATCTTCTCCTCCTGTTCTTTCAGCAGCCACTTCATCTCCTCCTCCAATTCCCTCTTCTTCGCTGCCTGCTCCTCCAACAGGGCCAACTTCTTTGCCTCTTTCTGCACTGCCTTCTTCTCCTTCTTCTCTTTTTGTTCACACAATATAGCGACACCTCTCTCCTCCTGCTCTGTAGTGTATGGGATCGTTTGTCGCCCAGATTTGGTGACAGTGGCACAACTGAAAGTGTGCCAGAAACCCAGAGGGAAGAAGAGATGGTAAAGGGCTCCCCACAGGGAGAAGCCCGTGAGCAAGGCGTACATGGGGTAATCGTGCATGGTGAAAGGTGCACAACTGACCGACAGTCCCACTCCTCACCACTTAGACTTACCCAACACAAATTCTAATCTACACTACTCTAAGGCTGTCACTACAGGACTCTACTGCTGATTAGGAGGCATTTAAGGAGATCCCCCAAACTCCTCACGAATTATTTAACGTCGCAAACAGGACGACGTGATCAGCAGAGCCCTCTCAAGACTTAAACAGCCGGATGCGCAGCCTACAGCTCGGAGTTCGGGCCTACCATGCCACACTGA